ACACTGATTTAAAAAAATAACCTGTAAAACTGGTGTTAAATGCAACGTGGTTGAAAATTTGGGTGCACCTAACTTTTGTGCTGGTGCGCCTAAGAAAAAAAATGTTAGGTGCGACCAGTGCAAAACGTTAGTCTAGAGCCCTGTCTAATAAATGTGAAACATGAAAACAAATTTTGTTTGAGAACAGAAATTTCAAAGGGAGACCATATTTCAAAATAGATTACAACATCTATTTGATTTCCAATGATATATGGTTGTGGACAATTGTGCTAAAACTTTTCTTTTCAGAAGCAGTTTTTTTCACTCACCTGCGTATTACACATTTAAAAGTTAATCACAGAGTCCAGTGTCCATATAAAGGATGCAACTTTCATACTACTGTGTACTCCACATTCAATGCACACAGAAGTAAACAGCACAGAACAGACAATTGGAAAATGTTCAAAGCAGAAGTAATGTCTTGTTCTGAAACTGATGAACTGGGAGAAGAGGGGCATGGACCCCCAAATGACACTTTTGATTTAGAAGACAGCGAAGAGTCCAGCGAAGAGTCCTGCAATGAGGAACAGCATGATCTAGGAAAACAGTTGGAACACAATCTAGCAGCTCTTTTTTTAAAGATGCAAACCATCCTCCACATTCCAGAGAGTTCTGTAGAAGAAGTCATACAACAGCTTTTACATATAAGTGAACTGACCCAACCACTGCTTCACAATTCAGTTAGGGACATTTTGAAGCAACACACAGATGTGGATGATTCGACTGTGAAACAGGTTGCCAGAGCAGCCTTAGAAAACAATGTCATACTAAAATTTTGTGGCAATGAAAAATTGTTGAACAGGGCAGACATTTTAGACAAAGCTCTTCCAGTGCAAAAGCATGTGCCACATGAGTACAGTACATTCCGAGATGGTTTGTACTGTAAAGAAAATGACCTCCTTAAAGGTGAGGAATTCAGAATCGCTGTTGGGCTTTACACAGATGATTTTGAAGTGTCCAATCCATTAGGGAC